AAAGCACATATAATTTTGTACCTCAAAATGTGTGTAATGGAGGCGTACTTACGAGATAAATATCAGCGGATGTAACATTGGCATGGTTTGGGGCCCAAGTGGGTCATGAAAACACACCTGGGATTGAATCCAACGGCGCATGCCTTTACGGTGACTGCTGATGTGAAATGAGAAGATCCTTTCACTGTTAACAAAGCAATGGCTACTAGTTCAAAGAACTTAAAGATGAAATTCGTTAATGGTGTCCTAGAACACGAAATAAGTGTGGTTAATGTTGAGTTATAAGGGTTGGATCTCCCCAAGGTCATCACAGCAGCAGCCAATCAGGTGTTTCATTTGTAGTCCATTGACGAGGTGGTTTGATTTCTCTAGATTCAATAAGTGACCTGTCTTTGTTGCAGCGTCGCTTTAATACTTAAGTTGTCTTTATGCTACTTCCGTAGACGTAAAGACAGTAAATTCCTTCCCAGTTAATGACACTTCCACTTGAAATCATTTGGGATTAAAGTGTCGGATTACATCAGCCTTATGTAACTCACTTGTAACAGACTGAAATGTGGCCTTTTACCCTTACCAACGTCCAAGTCTCTATTCACTTTAACTTCGCATGCCGCATCGTCCTATCGACTGCCTGTCACGTGAACCATCAGAGTTTGTTGGGCCATTAAACAGTTCGTTCTGAGGGGATGCAGCCAAACCACGATGCTAATCAGGCAATCAGGTCACTCAACTTGCGGTATCTTAGGGTACCCACGGCCTGCTTGGTCTGGTCGGTACTTTGATTGGCAAAATGTCGCTCGGTTCACTTGAAGGAAAGTGCTTGCGCCAGGCGCCACTGAACACTCTAAGCGTGTTCTGAAGACCCTCGTCGACTTACAACTTCTCACTGCGAATTTCGGCCATACAAGCGTATTTGTGCGTACACCAAGTGTGTTTCTAGTGGGGATTAGCCTCGTTCCTAAAAAGACACTGGATTGTGTTTGGCAATTTTCGACAAGTAAAGGCACTGCACCCCATAACAAGGCTTCTCTTGCGAATTGATGATATTAAGCCAACGAAACATGCAAGTAAGGGACAGAAGATGCACACCAGAGCCAGCGCATTTCATCCAGTCTTTTAGACAAGATATATTTTGGAGTTATCTCCTCCACTGCTTCTGTAAGACCCGTTATTAACTTGACAAGTGAGTAGAAAGGTGGGAATGCGGAGTGAGGCTGTATTAAGTCCACGTCTACACGCTTTCTTATCCGCCAGGACGAACTCACTAACACAACACTTGTGTGAATCACATGTGTGATTTCGGGTCCACGATCGCCACGGCGGTAATTGCCACACTCTAGAACTGCCTCTCACCTCTACCAGGAAGTTATGTGCGGTGCTTCCGACATGCAGCCGTCTTCCCTCTCTACAATTGACTCACTCGTACAAACCGAAATTATAGGTGTTTGTATGGAGTCAGAAATAATCGATTAGCACTTCAATTTTCAGGGACAATGTGACATATTTGCAAATTTTTTAAAGGAAATTTATTTACCTACATAACCTCATTGGTAAATTGTTTCCATGAGTTAAAGACCAAACTGAGGCTACTATTTTAATAAAAATCTGCATTTTCTTGGTTATTACTTACTGATTTGTGGTAGTGAAAAAAAGAAGCATCACAAATTAGCTGTGAGAAAGTAATACAACAATTTTTCTTGATCTCAGATGAGAAACTCGAAATTTCTGGCCGTTTTATTGAGCTTCAATGAGCAATTTTGTGATAGCCGCTTCCTTTCTTATCACGGCGACCTTTTTTTCTGTGCGCAAAAACTTTAAGTGGCTGCTAGAATGCAAGATAGAATGATCAATCACCTCTTCCCAGCTAAAATAACGCACGCACCGTAGCATCATACGCGCATGCTACGGCAGTTGGTGATTGGTTGACGCGTCGCACACACGCATCCATAGGCCTACAAGAACACACACATGCACACACACACACACACTCACACACACACTGGCCGGGTTTCTTTTACGCACGAGTGTGCACCTCTTTCGTCTTTTCAGCACTGCCAGTTCGTATCCGACTCCAATTAGGTTTCGATATTTTTAACAGAGCATGCAAGAGCCCTTAAACTTTTCAAGAACCACCGCCTATTCGGCAACTCGCGAACTAGCCTCACGCGTTCTAGACAGCCTACAAGCCGCCAACGCTGGACTTGGTGGCAGTCCCCACGATCAGGTGTTTGACTTTAGAGCCTCGTCACTGCCTCGGGACATGGTGGTCACCGAACAAAGTAACTCCCACCTCGGCAACCCTTGGGCGGCCTTCCAATCGGGGGCTCTACTTGCTGCTGCCGCGGCCGCCATGTCCACGTCAAATGTGTCGAACTGTCCACGCGATGCACAACTCGAGGGCTTTCTGATGAAGGCGCCAACGAGGACCCAGTCGCGCCTCGACGTCGTGGGCGAGAAGCCATCAGCAGAACAGTTACCCTTGTTAAACGCACCTGCCGTTTCGGGTTTGCTGGGCAATCCGTGCCCTCTGCAACCGCCTACCTTTAGGCATTTCGTTACTCTTAACAACCGCGCAGAGCAGGAACTGCAAATCAACTCACGGTAAGTGTTTCCGAAGTCCGTTTCTTTTCCAATTCGCAAAACCAGAACACATTGTTTCGTGTTTATTCAACACTGCTTTAAGGCATTATCGATCTACTTGTGTGATAAGAAAGGAAACGGGAACGTGAGTTGGGAAGACGTTATTATTCGTCTCTGTTTATTTGAACTAATAGGTTTTTCTTAATTACCACTGCACTTGTTTAAGATTACTAAGGCAATTAACGCGCGCCACATTAACTAACACGACTAGTACCGATATATCAAGAATTATGCTTTGAGCAGATTACTGACTACATTAAATAAATGTCTCACCTTTAAGGTTTGAAGTACTAACTGTCCAGTGTGATTTCGCATTTTAACTAAAAGATCTAGTTCTTACTAGTTGTTCATTAAGTTAACTTCAGGCGGAAATTTGAATTAGTGCCGGTGATGTTGTCGTTAACCAAACAAATTGCGTGCATTCTGCCATGATCAAGACGTCCATCATCCTTCATGCACAGAGTATTGATACTAATGCGTTATTGGCTACGATCATGAAGTCCCGAAATGGTCTATGCTCAAACCCCGTAGTGTTTGCCAGATTGTCGCATTGACCCACACACACCTAGTTTTTAATGGTATGGCTCAGTTTTGTCTTGTATTCATGTGGCAAACAGTCTCACAAACAGCAAAATCCTGTCGTATTTCTAGTCAACACTTCCCCTGTCAGATCCAATGGGCTCTGGTGAGGCGTTTGATCAAGTCCCTTATATCGTAACTAGGTGTTACATCATGATCTATAAGTCTTGTCTTGATTAACTGTCTCAGTGTGCTAGTAAAGACTTAAAATCCAAAACATTTCCACTGACAAATTACACATCTAGCGCCTCACTGACAATCTCACGTACAACCTGGTAGCCTAATGATCTTCGTATTATTTCAAACGTAGTCACCCATTCGAGGCCCAAGAACCACTTCGCGACTTTTCGGATTTTGTGAGAACAAAGGCGAAGTGTGCTTGTTATTGTTGAATTGACTTGTCATCACGATCAAACCTAACGAAACCACTTCGCTTGTTTGTAATGTATCCGTTAGCACAACCTTACCTAATTGTAACCTCCGCTTCGATTCTATGAGCAAGTTGATCAATTAAAACATTAATCAAACCTATATGGAATTCAATGAGACGCAAAGACACCTTGTCAACAATAAAAGACAAGGAAGGTGATCAGCCAATGAGTTTATTGGGTGAAGTGAAGGACAGGTCAATAAACACAAAAGTACCAAGTTGCAAAGAGGCCAGATCATTCAGGATAGCAACCATCTAACTAGCATTTGAAATTTCGTACAATAAGATATGCTGTCTAATTAAACAGTCCAAGGCAGAGGTAGTTTATATTTCAAGGAATATTTTTTTTCTAAAGTGCAAAACTCAAGAAATTCAGTGATATATCACGCACTAAATTCAACCTAGCAAGAAAGAAAATGCACGCTTCTGTGTACATCATGGATCAATTATCTTACTTAGGTCTCGCGGCAAAATTTTACAGCGTTACAACACAACGTCGTCGAATGGTGATTTTACCGCAGAAAAATAACAAAACTGTTATGTACACTTGTACAATCACTGCTCTGTGCGTTAATGCTGTCTTTGTTGGACAGTATTCAACACGAGGGAGGCTCAACCACGTGTTTTAGCAAAGGCGAGTTTGGTGTAATTCACGCATCTCACCTGCCATCCCGACCTGCCAGCACACGTCGATAACAACGAAACACTGCTTGAGCGAGCGCGTCATTGGACGACACGTAAAAAGGCAGCCCAGACACTTGACAGCATTGTCATTATCGTGTCAGGCATCATCTGCAAATATTTTGTGGTCGAGCAAGTGTTCTGTACACATGCTCACCTCAGTGAATAGTGATGGAGGAGAGCTTAAAGTGATATTTGATTGGTTGGTTGAATGTGATGTGAAGCACTGATTGGTCAAGTAAGGCATTATTGTCCATGGAGGTTGGTGTGGTGTTGTTGCATGGGTCAAAACAGAGCCCATGTCGCTTTTGTCGCTCTAAACGTCGATCACTATAAGCCCGAGTGAGTAAGAAACACGAGGGGAGATGTTGGATGAGGAGGAGGTGATAACGGTGGTGGTGGTGGCGAGGATGTTGACTCATTTAATTATGTCTTTGTTCTACCGCGACAATTCGTGAAAAATCGTTGTTTGTCTGACCTAACAATGCCCACTGTGATTCTCCTGAGATCTGTTAGTTCATCGGATATGAATTGTGGGCCTTGGTCAGTTAAAATGTCACCTGTGAGGAGCGTTGGATGGTGAAAACGGGTGACATTTGAATAGTAATCAAGGGAAATTGGATGATTCAAATCGAAGACCAGTAGGAGAAGTAATCAATATGCCATCCATGCGTTCTACGGATTCTCGCTAATTGGTTCGTTTAAATTGAGCGCCTTTCAGTTTCATTTTCTGACGACGAAGTTAGAAAAAGGAAATACGGTGCAGTAAACTATGATCCTGAAGGTATCCATCGATAATATTTGTGCAATTTTATTACTAGTGTGTGTACGTACCTCGTGCTGCCAAAATTTGTACTCTGCATTACAATTTCTTAACTTATTTATATAACAAGCATGAAAACCTCTTTCCACTTCATCTAAGTATTTTTAAACTATGTTATCGACACACCCACCACACCTAAATTTTCTGCATTGCTCTATTTTAAAAAAACACGTGAAGTGCAGTGCATTCGTGGGCTTTGTAACAGTAAATAATAACTCGTAAATGGTGCCACGTAACTCCTCTTTTGTAAAAACACAGGTCAAACGTGGAACCCAGGGCCTATGCAGGGGGCCAGTAAGTTGCAGGACACGTCTGTGCCTTCACGCACCAATCGGAAGCGTAAAAGTGTGTGCGGAAATTCAAACTATTGCATAATTCTGACCATTTGATTGGCGCAATTGCAAGCATTACCTTGCAGTTTGTAAATGCCTCTTAGTAAAAGCCCATTGGAGTTCTGTGTTTGAAGCTCTTCTCGTGTTGTTAATTTAGAAAGTATAATGCGCACAGCTGCCAGGGTTCAATATACTACAAAAAATTGCCAGTTTCCGGAAAAATGCACAATATTTGCCGTCTCGAAGCTAGCCTTAAGCGGCTGCATTGTATCTGTAAAAAATAACAGTAAATTATCCAAACTTTTCAATGTCAATGAACAGGTGAATTTGGCAAATTCTTTAACATGAATTTTCACAGCTGTCACCTGCATTTCGCGTGCATTTTGCTAACACACACAATTGTTTGTCAAATATTTTATAGTTCTAGGCAAGGAAACGCATAACGTAATTTAAAAAAAAAATAATCTGACCATTTTTCGCTTTGAATGCGTTTGGTGATGTAATGGGACGTTGTGGAAGCGTCAAAATTCAAAAACTGCTTTCTAGGGGTCGATTTTACTTAGTGTTAATTAGCTTAATCTAGACGGATGTTTAAACTTTGTATTGTGACCTCAAATTTTGACCTTGAGTGTGCTTTTTCATCAAGTGTCCCATGGACAGGTAGGTCATTTTCCCACGACTTACATGCCATTCAATCCATCCGCGCGCGTTAATGAATTGAGCCAATCAGAGCGGTTAATTTAAGTGAAATCACTCAAATGGCGGTTTCTCAGTTCGGTGTGCGTCCGCGTGTGTATCAGAGACTGTCATCGGACTGTCACCACCGCGCATCTGCTGAATCATCATCGGTGCGCTTGCGCAAGGCAAAACAGCAAAACCGACGCGTGGATTTCTTGTCATCAGTACCACCTCTCCTGTTGCCCTCTGTGCTTTTTGTCTGGACGTAGAACACTAGTAGTAGTACATGTACGCGAGGAGGTGGGCGATGACAACACACAAACACCAGGCGTAGCACACACAAAAAAAAACTCGCGCGCAGTTGCTGGCCATTGGCGTCGCGATGGCGGAAAAACCACGTGCCGCACGAATGGTCATCCACAGATTCACCCGCTGGCGCGAAGCTTTAAGACGCTTTTCGGCCTGTGCTTGGGTGTGTGGTCCTTTCCCTTACACTTTCAAGGTCGTAAGAACTGTGTCGTATCGAGGCTGTACTGCATTCTGGTACACGTCTACATTGGCTACATTGCACAATTTTCAAGCATTAAGTCCCTCCCCAACAAACTTAAACAACGAAGGACGATTGTTTAAATTTATCTCTAGGAAAAACTACCTCACCAAAGCTGTATTGTTAAACTGACGCTCATTTATCAGTTTAAATTAAAACCACATTTGCCTGTGCACTTTTTACAAGCAGGTGACGATCTCGTAGCGAAAGATTGCGTTACTTTCATTTGTTCATCACAAAAAAAATGTACCAGGGTTAATCTACCACTGGCCTGTCAACATTTAACAAATTTGGTGCTCACGTTGTTTAAATTAATTCTTTTTGTCAAAATTCGCGGTCCATTTTGTTTTACCTAACAGTAACGGATCCAGGATTGGTTACTTGAATCCTGAACATGCTCCAGTCTAAAGTGTACTACCTGAACGCCTTGGCTTAGGAAAAAAAAGTTGTCAGATTTGAAGATCGAGTATAAGGAGTAAGATGTCACAGTGTATTGCGAACTGCTAATTAGATGTTATGGCTTCTGATGCATGTGATTCATGTTGTTGCTCTACACACACCCTAGAAGTATCAGATTTCTGATTTCCTGTTTTGGTTTTCTAGTGCAACCTCCACCACCTCCTCCTCCTCCTGCGCCTCTCAGCAAAACAGAAAGAACTCGAAACTGGTTGACCGCAGCCGTCGCTCGCGTGTGGTGATTCACCAGTTCGGTGATGCGGAGGATCACTTTTCGAAGGCGCTTCGCAACCTCCATGTCAAGTCAACGGTATGTCCTTTCACACCTTGCAATGATTTATAGGTAAAAACTGCCTCTTTGGAAGCTTGACTGCATTTGATTTTCCCACGCAGCCAGTTCACTGTTGATTTAAACAATGCCTTGAACAGAAATCACAACTCATTCTACACTTCGAACACAACTCTACACAATCGATTCTGACACAAAAAAGTGTTATCCAATCAAATTTCACGTCGTGAGCAATTTTCAGTATCGATTTAGGCAACAGTTTAAACTGAAATTACACTTGAACCAACATGAACAAAACTCATCCTACACCTTGACAACAACTCAACACGATCGATTGTGATGTTAAATGAGCGTTAACCAATCACAATTTACCCCACAAGTTATGTTCAGAAATCACACTTGCACTCATTTAGTCATAACTTATCCCACACCTAAAAAAACAGTTCTACACAGTCAAGATTTTCGTGGTTAAGACTTCATAATTCATGCATTAATACAGTGTTTTTGTGGCCAAACGCCGTTTCCAGTTTTAGTGTTATCAAGTAATCACGGTAATTATGTAGTCAAGGCTTCGATATTGCCAAAATGAATTAGAAACTCGCTTTAAGACACGGAAATGCAGATCTATTTTACTAAACTTTAGCAACAGTCACATATGCAGAACGCCCTTATGTAGATCTGTGGGTCATTCCAACTTTTACACCGTAAATAATTCCAAAATTAAGGATTAATTCCTACGATTTCTGGTTTATCGGTTTGATTTCCGATTACCAGAGTCTTACACACAGTTTACAATCAGAAAAGTGCAAAATCGGACTAATGTCAGGTGTTTAATGTTAGAAGTGATGGGCTAGGAGGATAACAAACGTTGTCCCTTGTGTTGTTAACTCGCGCCTTTTTTGTCTTTTCCGCGCACTTGACTAAAATGAAATGTACGTATACTGCTTGATCATGGTGGCCCTGTTTAATTCACAGAATTTGTAGTAGCAGCTCTTAACACAGCTATCGCCATTAGTAGACAAAGTGTTTAATTTCGACTCAGTGTATCTTCAGAAATTTATTTAGTTAAAATCCGAAGGTGTCGTTTCGACCCCCCACCGGGACCAATGATCAACGTTGACAATACCCGATCAAGAAAGAAGACTGCAGATATCGCAGAGCTCAACCAGTTTATTGCTACAGTAAGAGTGTGGTTGTTTTAGTGCGACATGGCGTCGGTTTATATGGCAACGCTTGACGCCGACCACTGCTCTAACAACGCGACGTGAAGTGCATTCAAGTTAATCGATTGAAATCGCGTTCACTCGCGCTCGGCATGAATTTTCGCGTTCCGCTCGAAAATTCGTGTCTTGGTACTTACAAAGTTGTGAGTTTGCAGAAGTAACTCCTGGGTTAATTGAGGTTGCGACGCACGTGGTTGTATGAATTCGATTAACCATCTAGCGCCGATTTTTCCCACTACGCACTAGAGGCCCGCCACGCGCTTGCCTACGCATCTGGCCACACGCAAGCACGCACACACACACACACTCACAGACACGTGCACGTCCGAATACTTGCCACATTCGTGGATAGAATTAAGGCTTCCTCTCGTCACTTATGTAATTTCCACTCGTACTAGAGGCAGCATCGTCATGCTTTTCTTGTCGGCAAAATGGGTATCAGTTTGATTCGGCACCCCACGCCATCGCAAGTCCAAGCAGGAAACAAATAAGTAAGTGACATCCGTCTGTGTGTTTTACACGGCTCTGGGACGCCTACTGATGTCCATCACAGAACACTTACATGTGCCGATGAAACAGGGGACAGATCGATAAATGAGGCTTATATGATTCAGGATGCCAGATCGAAATCGACATTTAAGCAAAGTACTGACAAACGGTTTCACCCTTACTGTTGATACATATTCGACCGCTAGTGATTTAAACAACAGCCCGGAGACTGTGTCCAGGTTGCCTGGACATTTGAGAAACCCAGTTTGTTCCTAAATTCGATGCAGTTAAAGTTTCTTGGTCTTCTGGTACAGGAATGACCTAAAGTGATTTCTCTGCAGCGAAACATGGTAACACCGACTTCAACACTGAATTCCAGGTAGAAAAATGCGTCAGCGCCAAGTCCTCATACCACCGTGCACCCTCTAGATTCACCTTTCGATAAAATTCTCCCACACGACTGGTGGTATGTCTCCCACCCAAACACACGCACACACACCCACACCCTCGCGTGTGTCCGCATTCCGATCGCGCATAAAGCCGCCCTTCCAGGCATCAGGGTCTCGTCACCGTAAAAGCATTTGCATGCCATGCGCGAATACGGCCAACTGCGCGCAAATGTTGTATTCTCTTTGGTAGTAAAGAAACAAGATGTGGTAAACAGGTTTTCGGATGTGCAGGCGTGTCATGATTACAACGTCATCACATGCGAAAGCACCGATGCACACGCGGGGATATGATGATTCTAGCACGCCGACAATTGAACATTCCAATGGGCTAGGCCAGTGGGAGGCTGGAACCGTGGGCGTTGGCTTAGCACGAGCAGATATGGCTGATCAGTTGGGATGCTGCCTCCACAACAGTCAAGTCGAGTTTCTCATTGTGGCACAACTAATTTCGCTTGCCTTCCTCTTGACCTCGCAAAGCGCTAATAACAGGCCATTCGAAGCACACGACACGCGTTGAGTGTGCACATGAGGAGTTAATAATCAGCCATTACGATTTTTCGTTAGTTATCTGTCACTTTCGTGCAAATTAAAGTTACATTTATCGTTTCACGAGAATTACTTTGGCCTGGTTTTATGTGAAATAACCTAATAGTGAACAGCTAAAGTCCTTAAAATTGTGCTCATGACTCAGGTTTTTACGGAGTAATTCATTACACCTACGAGGACTACGCAAGAAACTGATAAATTGCAGTTAACTGCGAGTAAGCACATGCATTTATCACAAACGAACGCCCACACGCAACCCACCACCTTTACGAAATTATGAAGGCATTCCTGATCCCCCCTATAGGCTGAAGATGAAATGGCCCAAAGCGCATCGTTGCAGAATCGCACGTGGACAGTGACGAGTGCCTTTGACGCTGGAGGAGGCGGCGGCGGTGGTGGTGGCAGTGATGGGAGGAGAGGAGGAGCATCGAGTCCCTCTGAGGCACAGAACATCGCGGATTTGGCGGTGGAGAAGCACTTCGAGAAGTCCCTTGCCACTTTCCACGCAAAACAGGCAGCAGCTGCTGCTGCCGCGGCAGCCAGCAGAGAAACACCGGCCTCACCAAACAAGACACCGCTTGATTTGAGTCTTACGAGAACACGAACCCAATTCTACCCAACCTCCCCGTCGATGACTTCAAGCTCCGGCGGCTCCACCTTACCGTCGCCTCGTGGAGAAAGCGGTGGACCTTCGTTCAACCCGAAGAAGAAGTGGCTCGCACAGTACGGTGACGATGAAGGCGCGCGAATACGAGGGTGTGGCAAGGGTGGAGGCTGGAGTGTGGACGATAATGCCTGGGGTGGAAAGCTTATCACCGCAGAGTCAGAGAGCGAGGCGCGATCAAGGAGCTGTCCGCTCCTCTTCAACGACTTCAAGCCCATCAAAGAAGTCCTCTTACAGTGCAATAACAAGTGCGAAACAACTCAAAAGACCTCGAAGTGTCACGGTGTCATGCACTCGTCAATTTCTTCCCTGCAACTGCCTATCCGAGGTGGATTGGGTCTTTCACGAGCAATAAGTCTCCACGAACCCTCACTAGGGAATAGTATGGAGCTTTTCGACGAAGACGCAGTTGGAGGCGCCTCGAAATCGCTCTCAGCCTGCGAAAGTCCAGTGTCCTCACCCATCGCAGGCTCCTCTGGCTTTTTTACTGATTCCAACTACTCCCTCGACTCGTCCACACTGCCGGTCATTTCTGAGGCGGGCTATTTCAGTTCAACCACTTCGACTACCTCCAGTCTCAAGGCGAGACACCTCGCAACCCTGAAGGAAGGCGGTCTTCTCACACAACTGGATCACAGTCGTTCGACGGGGTACGAGCCGGGGACTCCGCTCGAAGGCATCTGCCCCACCGGACGTTCCTGGGCGATGCGCAAACGCGTTGCCTCCGACGCAAGCAACCTCGCCTCCATGAAACGCTCGCGTTCGGTGGTTGCCGCAAGCAGTTGCGAGCACGACTTGCAGGGACAAAGTGAATGCGTGACACGACAATCCGACTGAAAAACTTTCAGTGAACCCTTTCGTAAACCAATGGCAACTGGTTTTATTCATTTGTCCATTAAATTGTACACCTTACAGACCTGCCCCTTCCCACTACCCTTCTACAAGTAAACACGACCTGTGTGTTTTATTTCATTATATATATGTATGAAAAGAAAGCAAAGTGGGATTTGTCATGGCAAACGCATTAAAGCATTAATCTCTGACTGAAACAGCCGCTTCATTAATATGTGAAGCGTTCAGCAAATTCTGTACGATGGCCGATTCTAATTGGCGTGTTCAGGGTCAGGGCGGTCTGCTAAAGCGGCAGTTATCTTTCACGCGAAGTGAAAAAGAATAAATAGTTTGTTCGCAACGGCGCCCTTGCTTGTGTGGGAACGACATCAATCAAGCGAGCCTTTAGTCTGGCAGATTATCACCTAATTGGTTGGATTTCTTTTTCGAAAAAGCAACATTAAACACTGGGCTGTTACTTAAAGTATAAAATATGCACGAGAACAGGAATATGCGTTGCTCAGTACACAGACTGCATAGTGATGGCTGATGTTTCCTCATCCACAGTTAATGTAGTCATTCTAATATAGATCCTGGGACGATTTGTCTCTAGAAGTGGTTTGTCTAGAGGGAGAACGAGGTGACGTTCTAAGCTAACCACAGCCTTCATTACTAAGTCCTAGTTCACACCAAACTGAGTGGAGTCCGCTCACATTCCCCTTTCCCATTCACATTCTCATTGCTAGTCGTCTGCTCGGGATAAGGCCGTGGAACTCCTGTAAAGTGGCCACAGCTGGTGTTCTATTTTGGACATTTGAGTGGACACCAGTCTCTCTGCAGCTACACATGGTCGGAGGAAATCACAAGTTGCAGAAAATGTCTTCAAGCTTCAACGTCAAAG